TCATTTCCCGCTCTTCACTGCCAACTCTTTACTTCCTGCTCCTTACCTCCCACTCACTTCTAACTCTTAACTCCCCGCCCTTCACTCTCCGCCTTTCACTGTCCTCCCCGCTTTCCTGGCTCCGTACTATTTCCTCTTTCAACCCTTTCCTCTCTGACCATCCCCACTCGCTTGCAGGTCTCGTTCCTCCTCCCCATCGTCCTCTCCGCGCCTTCACACTGTCTCACAAAGCGAAGGCGGCGCCCGGGCCCTCGGGTGGGGAAATAGAGCGCGGAATTGCGCATATGCCCCATTAAAGTTAATGATGTATTACTGCTGCTGGGAGTTTCAGAACAAAACATTCACGTTTTATGGTCTCAACTGTGATTCTCGTTTTATGGAACGCATGTGTTCAGTAGGACATAGTTTTAACAAAACAAGCCTCCAAATAATGAAAATACACGGATTAAACAGGGGTTGCATTGTACGAGTACACTACGTATTTTAGTAACATTATTAAAAAAAATACAGCAGGCCAACATGTTCTTATTTTTGCCACCATTTGAATATTAAAATGCTTTCATTCCACATAATCTTGCAATTTGTTTTAACCATCATAGTACCCAGAATACATGAAGTTTATGAAAGTGTAATTACGATTTATAAATGTTTTAGTTTTAACAAACAGTTGTATCGTATATCAACAACGAGCAAGACGATGCGTACGACATCGTTTAGTTTAGTGGTACCTTCGAAGTCGACGGTGCCTGAGCCATCCGTGTCAATCTCAGAGATCATTTCATCAAGCTGGTCGGCTGACAGTTGGTCGTCCAATGCAGCCAGGATTTCACGCAAGCTTGAAGTAGGAATATATCCATTGCCTGTAAACATAGAGAAACGCAAAGATAATTCATGTCCTGATTTTTCTAGAACATGAAACATTCTGGTGTTCTGTGGTTATCAAATTAAAATTTCAAAGTACGATGCAGTATATTTTACAATTTTAATCACAATGAGTGACATTGTGACATAGAGGATATCTTCTGTACATGATAGAAGTGAAGTAGCATTTGTAGATCCATAATTAGTTTTTTCTATGTTATCCCTAATTTCTGTGTTGTCACCTACGTGCTCATTACATAGGTCATAAATTTCATTATATCGTTACCAAGTAATAATATTTCCAAAAAACTAGACTCAAGAAATCTATCCTTGAACGCGCACAGTCTAAAGTAATGGAGGGGGAGAAACTACAATTCTAAGCCTCATGATATGTTTTATTTCTCATGAGATGTTTCACTAGGAAAGAAATACATGTACTACAAGGAGAATGGGATTATAATTTTAATGATACAATTAATAAAATATTGAACCATTTCCAGGTTGACGTTCGATTTGGAAAGTCTTTTCTTTAAATATTATGTATCAATTGTCAGGGGGAATTAAAAAAAAATATGTGCATCATGTTCTTACAAAGAGCTACAGGGGCCTAGGGACATTTCTGCCAAACGTCTCTTGTGCGCTTGCCTACGGGCTTAGCTGACGTTTTATTAATTTCAAATAGCTTGCTATTAGGCATGTGGAACTTAGGACATTTAAAGTGGAGAAGGTCGTTTTCATAATAATTTCCTTTCCACATTTCCTTTTCAAAATAAAAAATAAAAAAACAAAAAGAGAGATAAATAAAATAATAAATGTAAAAACAACACAAAATGAGGGATGTAGTTCATGACAGTTATTATTGCGGCAATGTCACAGTTAGTTACCCAACGTTTCGAAATTTTCTAATTTCTTCATCAGGGCTAGAGTACAAATACAAAAAGCAAGGCATGAAGACCAACCTGTGAACTACAGCCCTTATTTCATGAATGGTCGTGAATTCTGCTATGGAAACAAAAAGAGCAAGAAAGGAAGTGCGGACTGACCCTCCTTGTCGTACAGGCGGAAGGCGTCCTTGAGCTCGCGTTGAAGGCTTTCGTCGTCCTCGTCCAGGAAGTGGATGGCCACGCGGCAGAAGGAGTCGAAGTTCAGGCGTCCGTTCTCTGGAACGCACAAAGTTTGGTTTGAAATCAAATCTGTATCAAGGACGACTAGTAACAGTCAAAAGAAAATCCTAGCGGAATTTTGTTTAGCACGAAGCGTGGCACATTTCAGCTCCATTTCTGCACGTTGTCATTGTGCACAATCGCGTAATGGCTATTTACCACTCCCCAACGAGGCCAAAGTTCGGAGCGATTGCAAAGATGTACGTGGCATTAGTATTGCATGTTTTTGCTACGCGCTGTTCACTCAATTCTCCTTCCACTTTCGGCCATGGACAGATTGTGAAGAACGCTGACTACACTGCCTAG